AGAGAGAGCAATACGGCATACTCTGAACACTGTACTCTGTACACATAAGTTGACGGCATGCCGATAAGATAACATATTCAAGGCACCTCTGCATGCATGTCCAAACTCCATAACAACCCTACCCTGAAAAGATAACATATTCAATTAACCTCTTTATATCCAAACTACACAGTTACCCTGATATGATAACATATTCTATGCACCTCTGCATGTCTAAACACCTAGTATACCCAGATAAGATAACATATTCCAGGCACCTCTGCACGTCCAAATTTCTAGTTTACCCTGATAAGATAACGTATTCAAGACATGAACTCCTCGCATTTCTCTTTACGCGGAACCCAGAAGATTCGCGTCGGCGTCACGGAAAGGCGGCAGTGACCTGAGCGCTGATAGTTTCATAGCAATACTGATTTGTTTCAGCAAAGAAAACAAAAAAATACTATACAAGAAACGTTCAAGCAGTCATTTCAGAGCCATATTTGATTCTGTTCTGTAAAAGAGAAAAAACGTTACAATTATTGAAAATCTAAATATTTACCACCACATGAGCATTCAAAGTATTTAAACCATCGATTCTAGCAGTTTGCGACTAGAAAATAATATACCTAACCGATCAGTAAAGAAAATTTCCCAGATATTCAATAATCTCTCATTGTAATTTAATTCATCAATACAGCCATGAACTACGCCGCATTTCTATCCGCTATCCGCGCATTTGTTCTCTGGGTGCTGCTGGCCCTGCTGGACAGCGCGACCGGAGGACAGATTTCCAACCTTTTTGCTAAGGTGAGAAATAAGAGCCTGGACCTCTGCTCTAAGGTGAGAAATGAAAGCCGAGACCTATACTCTAATGTGAGAAATGAGAGCCTGGACCACTTCTGCAAGGTGAGAAACGAGCGCTGAGATTTCTTCTGAAAGGTGAGAACTGAGACCCTAGCCTCTTTTCATGTCGATCCGAGCACACAACTCCAGTTTATTGTTCTCTTTGCCCAAGATTTTTGTGGTGAGTTATTAGTAATGGAAAGTTATGCATAAAAATCGTTAGAGCACGTCATCTCGACACAAGTTAAAATCGTAATATCTTCAGGAAGCTATTCCAGGTTTCAAGAAATTTAATCCATCCGCAAGTACCGGCTTTTCATGAGCACCAGCGTGATTATGTGCTGCTGTTGTGATATGATAGTGAACTGGCTCAGCTGATGGATGAGCACCAGCGTGATTATGTGCTGCTTTGTGATACGATAGTGAACTGACTCAGCTGATGGATGAGCACCAGCGTGATTATGTAATTCTATTCGAAAACTATTGAGAGGTGTTATGTGACCTATTGAAATTTCTTCGTTACATTACCGAAACAGCTATACAGTATAAGTTGTATATTCTTTGCCATAATAATTAGTTATTCCTCCGAATACTTTTCATATCTAATCATAACATTTAACGTAATGATCCGCGTGTTCTACTACTCATGTTCTTTGTAAGTAAGTTGTAATAACATCCAATGAAGATATTTGAAAATTGGATTTATCCTAAATCAAAAAGACCCGAAAAAATTGATGATTTTTATTCTCATTTTGGATGGATTTCTGAATCAGCAGGCTGCAGTAAGAACTGCATTTCTGCCTGCACGTTAAGTTGATGCAACTGCATGTATTGTTCAGGACAAGTAGCGGCCGAAAAGATCGTATCCTATCTGAATGTCGCAAATCTAAAATTTCAAAATCAGATGAATATATTAATTAAAGAATGTTTTGCACCGGAAAAATTTACGAAAACTTCAATAAGTCGAAACTAAAACACGACGAAAGTTGAACCAAAATAAAACCATTCAAAACGGGGAGAAAAGAAAGCTTAAAAACTGTATTGGAGTCGTATTGGTATTCGAAGGTACCAAGACCGTAGGTATTCACAAGTCACCCCTGCCATAAGTTTTCACAAGTCACCCCTGCCATAAGTATTCACAAGTCACCCCTGCCATAAGTATTCGCAAGTCACCCCTGCCGTAGGTATTTACAAGTCACTCCGGCCGTAGGTATACGAAAGTTCAATCCACATAATCACTTGAGTTCAAGCACTTCACTAAATATTTAAATACGAGGAAAAGAAAGACAAGTAACGAAAAAAGCAACCAAACACATGCGAGCAACAGTTCGGTCTTCTAAGTAGCTGCCGTGCATCCGCTAGCGCTTCCTTTCTAGATCGCCTCGAGCGCTGTGACGTCATTCATATCGATGACGTGCTGCGTTAGTAAACTAAGATATTTCACGTTAAAATTTACCACAAAAATTCTTTACGATTAATTAAATTAAAAAGTATATTATTAATATATATTTGTTCATAATTAATGATTGCTGTAGACGTTTGTGGTGTTGTGATGTACGGTCTGCAAACTGGCTGATATTACATGACGGTTTGAGTAGTTACTTGTGGTGGAACTTAATATTTAAGAAGAATTTTAAAACCACTTTAATCTTTGCTGTAGCGGAGCAACAAATTTTGTGAAATTGTGTAATTGCCTTTCTTACCTGATCAGTCACTTGCCATCCGACTGATTTTAATGTTGAAAATTTTCCTGTTTCCAATGATAATACATTTCGTCATTACTGTTACGTCATATCTGTTCGGATAATCTCAACATAACAACATTTCACACATCATTTTGCATAGAATTATTTAAAGTTTTAAAAGCCGGTGCAAAACATTCAACCGCAATGGTTTAAATTTAACGATAACCTTAACGTCTTCTTATAGTCCCTTCATACTAATTATTATTGAAAATATTCCCATACTTACGTACCACTGAACGCACCGTTATGCTTCCCCTGCGGCGACTGGCGGGGCACTGATGCTATACTGTCAAGTTGACGGCTGTTTCATTTATTAAAATTAAACCAAGTTATGCGTATATGAAAAGTTCTTTCGACCTTTATCTGCTATATCTGCCTAACATTTATTTAGACATCACTTTCTATGTCTAAATAAATATACCAAGAGAAATATGTTCATTTCCATTAATCAAATTTATTTCCAATAAAATAACGTGTTCTGTAAACTTGGGCACCAGAAGTGAGGTATGCGAGATCACCAAGTTTAAAAACATTGGCAAACAGATAGAATCGTCGAGAACTTTTGCAGGTCTTTTGTAAGTTGTTCGACAAATTTTTTAATCGTAATATTTTTCGTGAATTAAACGCATTTTGTGAATTGGAATATCGTGCATTTTTTTCGCATTTCCGATTTTTTTTTAATTTTGAATGATTTTAGACGCACCAACACGCGTAAGCAAAATGTCGCCATATTCGACAACGATCGTCAGAATGACAACAGGGTCATTATGAAGCAATACATCACTGGAATAATCGGTCGGACAAACAACGCGTGTGCGTTAGCGTGGGGTACAGTGTGGGCCATCCCGGCCCTGAACCTGCGCTACCCCTGCTTTAAACCTGCGCTGAATTCAACCAGTAATTACCAAAAACTCGGAAAGGATTTATTCCTTCAATTCGTTGTCAATAATATGAAATTAAATAGATGATTTTACATGCGCATGGCGCATTGGCGACTCCACCTCATTTGCAAATAAAACGGCATAACGGGTGCAAACCGGCGAATACCAGAATAGGCGCGTGCGAGTTGTAAATAATGATAGAGCCTTACAAGAGATTGACATTCTCCACAAAATTGGATCGTGATGAGCTGGGCACTCGAAAGAAGGTCAATAATTGTGTTGGATATGGAAGAGTCGAATGTTGAGCAAAAGATACAGCATTGGCGGAATAATATACTGATCAATAAAATAATAAAGAGTACCAGACTTGAAACTTACATACCTTAGTGGAGAAATATCGAATTATCGACTTTCTTCCAAAGGAACATTTTGCGCGTGTGCGAACGCTTTTGGGTTTGTCTGATAAAGATGACGGACTACAGAAACTTTTAAATTTTCTTTATCCAGCATTTCTTACAGCGAGAGATAAACAAAATATTACAAAGAATCAAGGAACATGTCTCAGAAAATCCACTTGCAACATCACCAAAACAAGTCCGCATTCTTCTACTAAAATCAAGTCTGCATGGTTTTTATTTTAAGTTCTATCAGGGGATATATTTATCGTACTCAGTTCTATCAGCAGTTCAAGGCCTGGTAACCCCAGCTACTTCGGTCACCAAAGTATTCAATAGTTACTGTACCCTTGAGGCATGAGTACGTTGCCAACCAGACAAACCTCATGACAATTGGCAGAGCTCAACCGAGTTAATTTCTTGAGCATGTACCGCACCCTGTCATTTATGGAGCTCTTCTGATTGCCTGCGCTATAATGGCAGCAGAAGCCATCAGGCGGCTCTCGTTCAGCAGTTAATGCACAAAAAAACTCTATTCCTTTTTTCTTATTTTCTGTGATTTAGATTGCACTCCGGGGTATTCCATCATGTGTTGATGGTAGAGTTCGGGACATTCATTTACTTGAATGCTATTCCGGCGTTTCGCAGATTTTGGGCTGGATAAATAATTGGTTCGTCTGGCTATTTCAGCAGTCACGGCAGGCTTACTCTTAATTATAGGTTTACTTATAGGTTTTGCATGTGCCAGGTTTACTCTTAAAATCCTGCAGACCTCTCTCTGTTGCCAGTATACTTGCCGTGTTGCAGTTGAGCTTTACTACCAGCTGTGCGTTGTCGGCTTGCTTGTACACAAGGGGCTAAATTCTCATAGCAGGTTGACCCTGAGTGGCAGGGTTAACGAGTAAATCATCAAAGCGTCTCATCAGAGTTGGGGCAAACAGCACCCTCATCATGAGCCGTACAATCAAAACTCGTCTGAATATAGATAGAAGCATAAGTACGCACAGCGACATTAAAGCGTCAATTATCATCTGTGATTGGTGGGTTTAGCTGAAAATTCCGTCAGTGGTTGGCTGACTGAGTAATAAATTGGCAACTATTTTTGATAGCACGGCCCCAGGCCGCGTATCCAATGCGGGGACTCATTTCGTTTTGTTGCACGTGGAACTTAGCTTTTAATTCAGAAGACTCGTGCAAGCGTCAGGATGAGGTTGTAGGTGACGAGAGAGCTTAAAGTGAAGAAGAAAATAAACCCTTGTGTGAGCAATAAGTACCAAAAAAGTAATACTGGTTTGCATAATTAAATTATAGTTTACCTCTAGAGGTAACGTTGATAGAGTCAATATATTAGATAGAGATTAGAAAAAAAAATTCCACAAACGACATCTGCAGATCGACGGTGCACTGTGCGTCCAAAGCTTTTCAAATCAATCAAAGTCGCTCACATTCTTCAACGACAAAAGTCTTAGATATACGCATTCATACAGTCGCCATTGTTTCAATTTTTAAATACAGCCATGAACTACGCCGGATTTTCATCTGCCGTCCGTACATTAGTGTTCTGGGTGTTGCTGGTCCTGCTGGACAGCGTGATGGGAGGGCAGGTTACCAGCCTCTTCTCCAAGGTGAGAATTGAGAGTCAAGTCCCTTTTTCTAAGAGAGAAATGAGAGTTGAATCTATTCTCCAAGACACGAGGTGTTTGTACAACTACTGCAGCAACGATATTTATGGTTCTTCTAGATTCTAGAATAAGATATTTTGCAATGGACTAATTATAGTGGAAGTGAAGAGGTCGACCTATAAAATGTTTCATTCTACTTTATCTCATAGATTTTAGATCGAGATATTTTCAGAAGATGATTAGGAAATACAAATAATATTATTAATTTACTAATGTCGGTAATTTGTGCACACTTGAATCCTTATGAATGATAATTAGTTAATACAAGAATTTTTTCTTACCTTGACATCTCTCCGTTGACTACTGCTGAGAACATGGAAGGTGAGGTGACGAAGAATGCATTCGGTGATTTTCAACAATATAGTTTAAAATTAGTGAATTTATTCTATGATATCCATACAATCTTCTCTAATTGCCATTCAAACGTCAATTGGTGACCAGGTTGGCGGGAGCTTCGTGGAGAAAGAGTGTCTCTTGTCGACCGTCGTGCCAGCCACGACCGGCATGGACTTGCGGAGAGCCTGCAGCAGCATCTGCATGCTGACTGCCAGCTGTAGCTTCTTCTGCAGTCTTACGAGTGTGTTACTCATTTATTTATATCAACAGTAGCGTCCTAAGTAATTTTAAGAGAATGTAACTAGTTCATTTATATCAGCTATCGCTTCTTGTGTAATTTAAGAGAGAGTAACTCGTTTATTTTCCCAGCTGTCGTTTATTTTGCAGTCCCATGCGTATGTTACTGATTTACTGATATCAACTCTCGCTCCATCATCAGTTTCAAGAGTTTATAATTGCACTAACTAATTTATTTACATTCACTGTCATCGCTTCTTCTGCATTATCAAAAGTATGTATCTGACTATTTATATCAATTATCACTTCTTCTGCAGTCTCAAGAGTTTGTAACTATTTTCTTAAGTCAATTGTAAGTTCAGAACACTCAGATGCCTGTACCACATTTATTCATCGCAACTTTCACATCTTTTGATGTCACATAAGTATGCAACTCAATTTCTTATAAGAATTGTGACTCCTTCTGAAGTCTCAAAAGTTTATAACTTAATTCTGAGTAAGTAACTGATTTCGAAAATTTGTCACGAGAGGTAAAGAATATTACAATTTTTGTGCGTTTCCTTTGTCAAAAATAGAATAGACTAGATTTGCTCTCGACGCGGAAACAGAGAAGTATGATGTCAGAACTTGTGTAATTTATTCATAGCTACCGGCAGACATTGGTATTAACGAGCTGTATTCAATTAATGGCATATTTGTACTGTCAACAGGTACAGGTACATGTGCGCTGTTCAAAGCGTTCGTCGCCGTGCGTTGGCAGGGCCATCAGGTTTCAACAACAGGAACAAAGTACGACGCTTGCTACACGTCGTGGGGGGACCCCCGGGACATAGTCAAGACAAACTCACCCTTCACTTACTCCACGGCTCTGACAATTTACTACCCGCAGTTTGCTACCGATGGATACGCTTGCGTCGCCCCCGCATACTTCGTTACAGGACTCTATACGAACAGCTTCTCGCAGATTGATTTGCAACAGACCACTCGAGTACAGAAAGTGATTGCAGCCACGGCCTGGCCACGTCACATTATTGACATGGACGTGATCCTCAGCAACACGAGTGACTTTAACCTCGGCCAGAAAATAGGACGAGTTGTCGGAGACACGCCGGCATGGTCGACGTACACCATCGTCACCAACAGCAGCGTGGCAGGACGGTACATCACCTTCTACCAGATAGCAATGAATCACCATGGCTACGCCGACATACAAATCATTCCTCAGCCTTAAGTCTCTCTAAGAGACAATGCACTAATTGGTCTGCTTGGCATCGACTTACATTTTAAATTACGAACCCTGCAATAGAACGTTCAGTACCTACTTTTGAACCCATGTAGCAAATAAAGAAGGGCAATGAGAATTTCACACAATGCCAAAAATAAATGTTGATACTAGATTTTGATGAGAGGAATCTCCGATGATAATGATGATATGCAATAACCTATACCACAGCCCTGGAGCCCAAGCCAGACTTAGCATTTAATAAATACATTCAGCCTGAGAACCTGAAGCCGCAGATAACGCCGGAACACCGTAATCTAGATCAGTAACACACTGCTCAAAGGTAATCGCATAGTATAGGTTTTGGCCAATACTTGAACAAACTCGCCAAATGCAGTTTGTTCAGCATCTGGCCTCATCTACTCCGTCCCAACCTCTTTTGGTCTTGTCTATTCATCCTGCTCAGAATAGCAACTTGCAGCCAATGACTGTTCTACCTGCTTACTCGATCCGCGTCTCTAACTTCCAGCAGTCAATGAATATAAATGAGGTCCTCTTAGATATGTTTTCGGTGGAAAAATGTTGCAACTTGAGTAGGTTAGGCTTGAAGAGGTTAGGCCTGTGTAGGTTAGACCAGATGCGGTTTTGACCATGCTTAACTTAGCATGCTTATTGCTTAATCTGTGGCTGTGGACATGCGGTGTTATGGCTTGAATCACTTGACTTCATGAGCTGCTGTGCCCTCGAGCGTTCTTACCCACGGGGAGGAGTATGAACTAAAGTTTGAAACTGGGTAAGGTGGCATCCTGTAAGTGCCATTAGCCAGGTGAGGTGAATTTTTCCAGGGAGCAATAATGTTCATTGACATGCTCAGCAAATTTAACTGAAAAATATTCTGACGGAATCCAATAATATTTATTGTGATAAGTGTTAAAGCAAAGTTGACCCCGAAATTATTCTGAAGCGCCTTGGGCGGTGGCGCCATTTTGCCCATGTTAGGTGTGCATGAGCCGTAGGCAATTTTTGGTTTAAAAATAATTATTTTTACTGGATGAATGTAGTTGCACCAGCAGGGCAAACATTTCTGTTTTGGCAGCTCATTAACTTCAGCGACTGATTATTTATTTTGAGATTTTCGTGTGGCAACGTGTTTTAGAATAGTAGTTTTTTGTAGTAGTAAGTAGTAGTAGTAGTAGTAGTAGTAGTAGTAGTAGTAGTAGTAGTAGTAGTAGTAGAATAGTAGGTCCAACATTTGCAGAATTCTACATGTGTGAACTGGAAAATCGAGTGTTGCTCAATGCACAGAACATGCCTGAGCTTTACTGCAGATACGTAGATGACATTTTTGTTGTCATTCGAGACGAAGAGCACTTGATCGAACTGCGAAGAGCTTTGGAACATGAATCAGTCTTGACTTTTACCCATGAAATTGGACAAAATCACAAATTACCATTCCTAGAGACGAACAAGAAGATTGTTAATAAAAAGCATGCTCTGGTCTTCAATCAAACTTGCATAAAAGAGAAGCTTCTGCCGAACTACACCAATTTTCGAATAGTAGTTTGTGAATGTGAGATCTCATGGCCGCCCACTATTCTTGTGACTGTGACCAGTGGCGGCGGTCCAGTCATTTTACCCGGCTGAGTTACCCTGTTAAAATTATCTGTTCATTACTCTAGGTGGTTCATTACTAGCTAATGCATTTCTGTTCACTGGTGATATTGCATTGATAATCTGATATTTATTTGATATAACCGTACCAGTGTTTCTATTATATATATTAATTTTTCAATGTTTTTGCGCAGATTTATTCAATAGTTGCAACTTGTTTCTGGTTTCATTATAAAATCAACAAAGCGAACCTCGTACATATTTATTGAACCTTCTCATTAGCTTACAGCTCAGCAATCAGCAAGTTAGGAAGTGTAAACTAATGCTGAACTGTTCTTAGTGTAGCGTCTAACGAGTAAACCGTTACCATTTTTTTCGAAAAGGCTCGTATGAATAACTGTAGCGTGGTCTTTATATATTTAAATGCTCGAACACATGAGTATGAGTTATCAGAAATTCTATCCACGTGATTTGGTAGCTAATAATGTATATGGGACAGCGCCCATGGCGTTAAGTAGAACAATGCCATCTATTTTTAATGGGATATTGATATTATAAACTGTGGGTGGCGAAATATCACAAATAATAAAATGAATTGTCATTTTTCGAAATATATTGCACACTGCACAAGAACATTGGCGACATTGCAAAGTTATCGTCTATCAATAGTGTCATTTTTCTTTTTCTTTCTATATTAAGACTATTGCTAAATTTATCAAGCGTTAAAAAGAAGATTAATTATTTTACTGTAGTCTTCCAGATAGAAACTTTGAGGAACCTTCACTGAAGTCTTCTTGATAGGAAGACTACGACAAAAATTCCCCTTGATAGGAAGACTACGACAAAAATACGCCCATACGTCTGACTTGCAGCAGACGCCGCACCGCGGAGATCGTTCATCAGTTAATTATACAAAAGAATTCTGATTTTGCAGTGATTTAGTTTCCGTGATTTAGATTCCGTCAGATGTCGAAGGTACAGCTAACAGAATATTTTTTTCATAGCATACTAGCGCGGGGCTTATGGAGAGGTTGCGTGGTATAAATAACTATAACAGGTTCGCTCGGTTAACACGGCGAGGGTGGGTAACTTGAAGACACTTGGTAACTCGGCTTTCTAGGGTAATCCAGCAAAGATGATAACATAAAGTAACTGGATATTCCGGCTTTCTAGGGTATTCGAGCATAGATGGTAATATAACGTAACTGGATATTCCGGCTTTCTAGGGGAATCCAGCAGAGATGGGCAACATAAAGTCACTGGATATTCCTACTTTCTAGCTTAATCCAGCAAAGATGGGTAACATAAAGTAACTAAGTAACCCGGCATGATAGAGTAACCGTGTTATCTACTTAATTAACCTGAGGGTCGAGAGCGCAGATATTTTATTCACGAGTGTGGCCTTACTTCCAATGCACGGAAGCTTCGATTGCTTATCGATGCGCGGCCTCTGATCGAAGGAATACGATTTCTGCTTTTCATATGAGCGGCGGCTAAATGTGATAATGGCATCTGTGTTACCAAGAAAGGCTTCGAACACAATAAAAAATGTTCTATGTAAAAATATCAAAATTTGTACTTTCATTTATAAAAAATCCACAATGTGAGGTCGAAGATTACAATGCCTCCTCCATCCTTGCTTAGATTTGTCACACAAAAAAATACACACACACACAAAAACTACCGAGGACAGCAAATCACTATACATATTTTACTTCATCACAAAAGCATCACAAGTGTGATGCCCCAGCGTGTGAAGCAACCAGCGTAAATTTAAAAGCACACACGAGAACAACATGGCCATCCATTTTCGGCTCAATTTTATGACAGCGATGCAACTCGATATTTTGGCTTCTGAAATAGACTATGCTCTGAATAGAGACTCTCTTAACCTATTTAAAAAAAATGGTAATGATAAAATGATTAAATCCTCTTAGAACGAATTATACTTAAACATATACAACACTTAGAAAAACTTTCCTGTGCTTTTTCGGAACTCATTGAGTTGTCCGTGCAAAAAATGTGCTTTATTTTTAAATTGTTCCTCATAGCTGATATTGTTGGCAATGCACTTTTGATGTTTTTTTTCGTGTTAAGATCAATTAGAAAAAAAATTTATAACTAAATTCCCACAATCATGTCCATGAAATGAATGGAGTGTACAACGAAATAAGATAATCAGAGTCCGTAGACTTTTTTACTTTTTAACCTCCTTAATATGGATGGCAATAAGAAGAAAGGTTTAATTTTCTATGTATGTATTGGGATCTCTTAGCAACCCCTTCCTGTTTGATGACCTCGTTGCAACCCCTTACTGTTGGCTGACCATGGATCAACCCCATACTGTTTTCTGACCTCATATCAACTCTTACTGTTGGCTGACCTCATATCAACCATTTACTGTTTACTGACCTCGTTGCAGCCTCTTAATTCACTTTTGTGGGACTCTATTTATCGTGCTACCAGCCACGTTTGGGCCTGAGGGTGTTGGTTGCAAGGGTGTCAAGCAAACAAGGAATTGGTGATGGTCTCCACCTCCCCTACAACCATCCCAAACCACCTTTTTATTAGACTTTTCCTTGTGTTTATTTAACAATTTTTTGAACAACTCAACAAAAGAACCATGCAGGTATGTACATTAAACAGAGAAGAAGAAGAATAAGCGCAAAACCGAGGCACGGGGGTCTATAGCCTCAAATAATGTTGTTTTAAAGTTTGCCTGCTTTACCCAGTCTGAAAAACAAAAAAAAAGTTTAACATGATAAACATAAGGAGTGCACTAAATCCATAAAGAATATCAGTTACATTAACTTTAACATGATCAAGTTAGCGATGCATATCAAATAGTGAGCAGTCTACTATGATGTCAACACTGAAATTGATACATACTTTTGCTTTAATTTCATAATTTAATTTCACATTTCATTGCATCTCATGAGAGGGGAGTTTGCAGGACCCCTAGTAGGAAAAACATACTTCCTTGAAGTATCACTGAAATGTGCTTCCCACAACATTACTGTTTGTCGTGGTTGCATGCCGTTGCTGCTTGCTGACATTATTACAACCCGTTACTTTTTGCCGACATCATTGCAAACCGTTTCTGTTTGCCGGCAAGGTTGCAACCAATTTCAGTGCACGCCACTAACGCGCTTAGAAATGCTCTCTCGTGCAGAACGCTCCTGATCAGTTCACTTATTTAATGCATAACCCGTGCAGATAGCCTGGGTTATCAAGATAATGTTATTTTATTATGCTCTTTGCCTCACTTCAAATGCATGGAAGCTTCGATTCATTGCCAACACCTAAAAAAATAAATGGGTCATGTTGCCCAAATAGTGACTCACCTTCTTACCAAAACACGAGCAGACAACGGACGTAGCATTGATACGCTCTTTTGCTGGGGTGAACTGGGTCAGGATGGCCCACATGAGGGTATAAAGTGCATCGATATTAATTGGACAAAATCCCACTTATTTCTCTGAGCGTATTATCGGCTCTAGAAAGTGCAATACGGTATACTCTGAACACTGTGTACTCTGTACACATAAAAAGTACACTGCATACCCTGATAAGATAACATATTCAAGGCACCTCTGCATATCTAAACACATAGTTTACCCAGATAATATAACATATTCTATGCACCTGTGCATGTCCAAATTTCTAGTTTACACTGATAAGGTAACGTATTCAAGACATTAACTCCTCGCATTTCTCTTTATGCGGAACCCAGAAGACTCGTGTCGGCGTCACGGAAAGGCGGCAGTGACCTGAGCGCAGATCGTTTGAAAGCAATACTGATTTGTTCTATCAAAGAAAAATAAAAAATACTATACAAGAAACGTACAATTAGTCATTTCAGAGCCATATCTGGTTCTGTTCTGTAAAAGAGAAAAAACGTTACAATTATTGAAAATCTAAATATTTACCACCACATGAGCATTCAAAGTATTTAAACCATCGATTCTAGCAGTTTGCGACTAGAAAATAATATACCTAACCGATCAGTAAAGAAAATTTCCCAGATATTCAATAATCTCTCAGTTGTCATTGTATTAATACATCAACACAGCCATGAACTACGCCGCACTTCTATCTACTATCCGCGCATTAGTTATTTGTGTGTTGCTGGCCCTGCTGGACAGCGCGACAGGAGGACAGATTTCCAACCTTTTCTCTAAGGTGAGAAATGATAGTCAGGATCTCTTCTCCAAGGTGAGAAATGAAAGCCGAGACCCATATTCTAATGTGAGAAATGAGAGCCAGGACCACTTCTGCAAGGTGAGAAATCAGCGCTGAGATTTCTTCTGAAAGGTGAGAACTGAGACCCTAGCCTCTTTTCATGCCGATCCGAGCACACAACTCCAGCTTATTCTTCTCTTTGCCCAAGATTTTTGTGGTGAGTTATTAGTAACGAAAAGTTATGCATAAAAATCGTTAGAGCACGTCATCTCGACACAAGTTAAAATCGTAATATCTTCAGGAAGCTATTCCAGGTTTCAAGAAATTTAATCCATCCGCAAGTACCGGCTTTTCGCGGAAATTGAAATCAACATGAAAAATAAGTTGCTTATTAAAGAGCT